TTAGCAGCAGTCACTGAAAGCCAGGAACTGATCCCCAGCCCCATAGAACAGTCTGCCCCAGTACAGCTCTCAGTTCCCACAGTACCCAGGAGAATTTGCCCTGCATGTATTCCTAGAAAATGGATCAGAAAACAGGACTCTGGAACCCTACAGTTAAACACACAAGTGAAGTAAAAAGTTGGAGTTCAGTTAGTGCTTCATTTGACTCCCCAAAGAGGGCACTGTCTAGACAAGAACAGTCTGGCCCCGTGCCATCCTACTCCAAGGGATCAAAGTACAGCATTTGTTGGTCCAGCAGCAGACTGACAATAACACAGCTCAAGTGTCACTGAGGACTGTAAGCAAAGTGGAAGGAAGAATTTTTTACTTTTGTTAGATTTTATCCAGCTTTTGCAGAAAAGCAATTTTCATGGGATAATGGAAAAATATTCTCCAAGGTAATTACTTCTCAATAGAAAATTCCCTGGAAAGAGACATCTGCTTCTCAAAAGCCCAGATACATCCTGTGTAAAAAGAAAAAAGCTATACAACAGAACATACAGCCCCATCACAACTCCATAACAGATGACATAAGCCATTGACAAATGAAGTGATACACATGCACATGTATGTATCTCCGATACAAACACATAGGAAATCCATCAACAAGTACCACAGCTAGAAAGAAAAAATTAAATACACTGAGTAACTTTTTCAATTAAAGAGTTACCTCAGAGAGCCCAATTAGTTAGATTAACAATAACCAAGTCTGTGGAAAAAGTACACACACACGTGTGACAAAGTTATTTACCCCTATCATCTTCCCTTTGGCTGCCAAACACACAACTGACTTAAAGCATAAACCCATTAGCATTTAAAGGAGAAAAGCAAGAGAAATGTTGTCAATGAAACCACACAAGCAAGAAAGAAATATGGAACCTCATTTACCTGGCTGTATCACCTCCAACTTCTACCATAAGGCACAACTTCTACACCTTTACAACACTGCAGTTGTAATATAAGTCTTCATAGCTTAACCATATGAAGTTGCTTAAATTTTTCACCTACTGTCATATTCCAGGAAATCTCTTCTTAGACAAGACCAATTTTTACACCACCCCAGCTTTTGCTCCCAAAAACACTCAAATACATTTTGCAGTGCTTATCACACACTAGCAACAGTTTGCTCAAGCTACATTTCCTCCAGCAGATAGGCCTTCATCTGTCACAGAGACATAAAATTGCACATTATCTCCAGTGGATGTAGAAGTCATCCTCATCTGCAGTTACATATACAAATACATGTAAAACAGTAATACTTCTGTTTTTCCTTTTACTTCAAAACAGTATTGCACATACAAGTTACTGTGTTTGGAAAGAAGCACACAAGACAAAGTGATTTTGGAAAATAAAATCCTTTGCTGACACTAAGTAAATACTTCCTTACAATAATTCATAGCTAGTCTGATTCTGTGATTTTCTGTTTTTAATATTAATTGAAGGAGACTTTAAGAATTGACTAAAGAAAGAGAACCTGTTAATTACAGTGCCTCTACTAAATACAAGCAACACAGACCATGTTTTGAGACAATCATCTATAATTGCAGATACTGTAAAAGCTTTGCAGACTGCCAAAGTTCAACTAATTAAGACTCAGTGATTCTCCACCCTGGGCTTGGTTACACCAGTTACAGATGGGACTGCAAACCAACTTCATTAAATTTGTTACACTCTGGATCATAAGCCTGGCTGAAACAAGGCTGAGAATCAAAGTGAAGTTGAAGCCCAAAATAGTTTGGGACGCATTTCACAACACACAGCAAGAGGCTTACAGGATCAACCTAAACACACTTTAGTCCTAAACTACTAATATTTCATCACCCCATGCCTTCTCCAGGAACACGTAACAAATTTAATACCATGGTGGTTTCTTATCTTGGAAGACCTTGTCAAACCAGACTTTTTTTTTTTAAGTTACATTAGCATAGTGAAAGAGGAAGACAAAAGAAGTTTAATTGAGGAGTATTTCTACTTGATCTGAATTGCCAGTCAGTAAAGACTGGCAAGTTATTTACCATCTAAGAACAAAGTTTGGAAAAAAAAACAACCACCACACTAGATATTGTTGTGAAATGAAAGCATCCTGAGAATTTAAAATCATTTATAGGTAGAATTCCAACTAAAAGTATTTGTAAAGAGATAAGAAGTTTCCAGTCATAAGTCATGGGAGCCAAGTCTGCACTTGGTTTAAAACAAAAAAAAAATCTAGCTCTCCTGTTTTGCAGAACATATTATTTTATCTCAGCAAAGTTTATATATGCTTTGAGCCATTCCTACTTGGGGAAAAAAGGAATTTTAAAGTAATCTTCTATTTACCCAAAGAAAGGAAAGAGTATCACATATGCACACAAATTTAGAGCATCTGAAACAGCAACCAATTCAATTTAAAAGTCTTGTAAACTTCTTTCTTCAATAACTTAAGGTCATAAATAACTGCACTATTTGTACCACCCCTACCTTTCACTTAGGAGTCCATGTTTAGAAAAGCCCATTCATATTATCTGCAAATTTGCAGAAAAGCACAGTCTCATGAAGCTGCTATTTTATATAGTTAGTTTCTTAAATAAAAGTTTGGAGACTTTCAGGTTGGTTGAAGGAAAACACAGCCCTTAGTCATATGCTACTTTCCCAACAAAGTTACAGCAAGAAGCTTCCGCTAAAAATAGAATATGTATTTGCACGTTCCTGGTGCCCTGCCAAACTTCAGGAGGGCTTTAGTTTCTAAATAGGATAACCATCAGTGGATAGAAATTTACTTTTTTTTGTAGTCTGCATAGTTAGAAGGTAAATTTGAAATGCATGTTAAATAGGTAACTTCAAAGTATGCGAGATTACACAACATAGCTCAAAGAAAAATGCTAACCCCTTTATCCTTAAGTATATCTAAGTTCAAGAGAAATAAAATGTTTTTTCCACATACTACTTTGCCACATTTTGTCTCTTCATACCAAGAGATCCATTTTCATAGCATTTTTAACTTGATTATTCATAGATATGCCTGTAATCACTAAATTGGGTCTCTTAACATACGAAAGAATTCCATAAAACTTTGCATCATTGAAGTTGTCAGGATTATATGGCTAAATAATTCCACCAATACCCTTCTGTAGCAAATACCCTTCCATCAGGCCATTTTTAAATATAACCAAGCTAGAATCTGTTTGAAGATTCCAGATATAAGAAAGAAAATATTATTGCCAGCAGAGACTACTTGAGGGAGGGATTCATATGCAGTGTACACATGTACATACTAATTGACAGATGAAGCTACTGCCATGAGAACCAATATCTTTCTGTTCATGTGTTCCTATTATCCATCACTGTCCTATTATGTGTATCACATCTGACAGACCACAGCAACAGGTGTCTTGCTAAAATGTGAGATGGGCAGCACAGTGGGAAGAAAACTTGGAAGGTGAGTACATAGAGAACAAAATCCAACCCAACAACATCAGACTTATGCAGGGTGAATCGTGTGTGTGCGTAGAGCATGAATGAAAAAAAGACAAGAATTTTACATAAAGCATAGGTCAAGAGTTGCAAAAAGATTGATAACCTTCTGGAGGTGGGCTTAGCTTAGACTCCAGTTTGTCCTAAAAAAGGCAAACATGAGCTGCTCCCCATTTCTGTAAGCACATATGCTCTCTGTCGCCCACTAAAATCACCAATGGCAAGAAGCAACACAGGATACCTGCATGTCAGACAATGTTAATCCTTCATACTTTGTCTATTATGTAAGACAATACCATGTTCACATGGAAGTATGCAAAGCCAGTAGGTACTGCATTTTGAGACACTGTGATAAAAGCACGAGCAGAGAAACCTTATGTCTGTGCAGGTCTTTATCATACAAAATGCAGACAAGCTGTATCATACCTCCCTTCCAATAGACTGTCATGAAAAGAAATGCTTAACATGTTAAAGATTTCTGAAAGGTCAGACCAAACCCATGAGCTAGACAAACAGATCAAGCATACGTTCCAAAATTCAAAAAAGCATGTTACATAAGATGAGCTAAATGCCAAAGCTCTATGTGTAGATCTAAATCAGTAAAAATGGTGTTAAAACTGTAGACACTCAGACAAAAAGATGGCCTAATTACTGGGTTATCCCAAGACAACCAAACATTCAAAAAAACCACACCCACATTTCTTCAGAAGAGCAGAGGTGGTGGGGTTTTTTTTTTTGGTGGTTTGTTTTTTTTTTTTTTAACTTCTGATCCAAATTTCATCAAGTAATTAAGTTTGGAACACTGCAACCCTTATGAGTTTCCATTAAGTCCAAATGAAGATTCTACTTCAAAATTTTCCTCAAAATGCTCTACACTCCTTAAAAATTATAATTCAGTGATAACTGATAAATGCCCCAGAAAAACCTTCCGCTGCTATTTTCTTTACCTGTGTATGTTACAGAGTCTTTATTATCACCCTGCCGATGTGAGGTCTCATTACAAAAAGCCCAAGAATTGTATGTATCAACCAAGCCTTCCATTTGAATGAAGGATATCACCTTTACAACCACCATGGGATGTGCACTGCAAGAACACCAAAGCTTTTATGAAAAGTCTGAAAGGAAATCTTACTGTGATTTGAAATTTACAAAGTAACACCTTGAGAAAGCCTTGGACATTTTCTGTAATACAGCTGTTTACCATTATCTTTTACCACTGTTGAAATAATCATTCACAGAATGAGAGTATCTAGATCTCTACTGCTTTCTAAATTAATAGTAACTTGATTACTCAACACAAATCATTAGCTGCTGTAAAACTTCCATGAAATTACATGTTGATATTCAGTTAGTTATAGCACACACCAGAGCAAAAAACCTGCTTTTCTTTCATCACAGCAGTTTTATTACACCCATTCTAGTAAAAGGTTTTACACCTAACTGGGCACACAAAGTGCTGTTATCCAACGCTAAGAATTATGAAAAAAACATGACTGACACAACGTTCTTACTTTTAGCAGTTCAAAATAATGAAGACAGTGGTAAACAGGGGCAAGGAGCAGCCGGGGTAGAACATACTGAACAGCTTCTTTAAAGCCTTCACCTATTGACTAGAAACAAAATAAGTTTCAGTCTTAAAACAATAAATGTGTTGAAGCAACAATATAATGTAGTTAAAATAGCAGTAATATAGCTTACTTAAAAGAAAGTTACCTGTAAATAAAATGCTGCTCCTGGCTTTGATAATTGACTTAGAAAATGATCATGAAAACCAGGTCGCAAAATATCTTGTGCATATGATTCATAGGGGTCAAATGCTAGTTCCTAAGAAGAAATACAGAATAATTTTACAAAACTGATCCAATATCTAAACTTCATATTTCTTAAAGAAAATTCATATACTACATAGGACTGACTTTTCTGCATACTTTTTCCAAAACACCTATAGAGAAGAATCAACACTTTTACATGCGCAGACTCATGGAGTAATTCAGTCTGGAATAGATCTCTGTAGGTCAACTGGTCCAATTCCCTGTTCATAGGAGGGTCCACCTCAGGGCCAAAGCCAGATCCAGCATCAAAGCTAGCTGAGGTTGCTCTGGGTCTCATCCAGTTGAGTTCCAAGTACGTCCAAGAATGGAGGCACCAAAACCTCTCCGGGCAGCCTAATCCAATGT